TCCCATGGTTTATCCCAGTAATGTGTGCTAGCTTCTATGCAAATACGCTGGAGAATTGCTTTATGAGTGCAACTAACTTGAATTTAGTTTCCTTTGAGAGATCGGAACAGATCTGTATTGCTTGCTCCGGGTGATCCAGGTGTATTGTATGTTTTTCTGTTGGATGATCCTCCTTAGACTTTTTTGGAGTTGAACCAACTCTGGGGCTATGCTGATTTGGTGACAGATCTGTTGGCGCAGAGTGTTGGTAATAATTGTGGTTGAGCCCGTCCGAATGCTGAATTTGACGGTGTCGTGGATGGTTGACAATATTGCTTGCAATCGAAAAATTGTCGGTGTCTCAATAGTATGTTTTGCTCCAATGGGTAGTATATTACATAATACTCAATTGCCTGCGTTATGCTCTCTTTCCCATTATTGCTGACTGGCGTGAGCGGGATATTTATGGTGCCTAATGGCCATAGGTTGTGCCCAGTGAAGCCTACTAGTAGGCCTCCTGTTGGTGGCTTCAAATCTTCTTTCCAAGAGGCTGGTAACTGTCTAAAGCAATGCTCATACAGGATGTCGGTGTTACTGCCATTTTCTATGTAGACACGATGAATCTACTTTTGGCATATGCAGGTAGTGATGAGGAGTGGATCCCTGGGGTCCCACTTGTGACGTTTTGGGTTTCCCGACGAGAAGTTGATGCGTATGATACTTTGAGATAGCTCATCTACATTGTTCGTTTGGTGACATTGATCTTAAATATTTCCCTCTGTTCCTTTTGTTCGTCGGTATGCTGTCGAGATTTGACTTACTTCATGCTTGTACTGTGCTTGCCTAATCAGTCGGTTCTGGTCAGGGTTGTGGCGAAAAGTTCTGTTGTAACGGATGACGGATGTCGTAGGTTGGATGTATCATTTGCTACGAGGCAATGTTCAGACATCCTTCGTGTTTTAGGAGAAGATCACTCTTCTGGTGTAGGTGAACCAGTATCGTCGAGGGGGGTGGCATGGTCATGTCCGCACTGGGTTCACCACTATCCGGCAGCACAAAGTCTATATTCGTCATTGCTAAAGTCTAGTGTCGTTTTACAGGTTGTATATCGTTGAGTACATACCCAGATGTTGCTAGATGTTGTGATATCTCGTCGGGACTTAACATCTCTCATGGATGTCTTGACAGGGTTAAGCCTAAGAATCTTTTTTTTTTTGGAACCGACAAATATCATTAAAAAAAACCACCAACCTAGCAAGATGCTAGGGGGGATAGAGTACAAAGAGAAAAGAAAATTACATGCAATTAAAGGATTGATACACCAATCAATCCATTGTAAATTACAATGTTCTCTCCTATATTTCCTCCATAGAAATACCGTGGATTTTACCAAGTCAGCCACTTTGGCGGGGGGAGTTCTTGTTTTTTTGAACACCCAATCGCACCTTGCCTTCCAAAGAAGTCATGTCGTCCCATAACAAATACTAATTAAACTTCTCCTTTTCTTTTCACATGTTCCCCAATGCGCTGTGAATATCAATAGCTCCTCAACAGATTCAAAATGTATATTAGGGAGACCACACCAGCTAAGCACCCATTCCCAAACCTTTGCAACCATCGGGCATCGAAAAAGCACATGGGAAGCGTCCTTTTCTATATTCTCACAGTATTAACATATGGGGGAGGTGAGTCGGATACCCCGTTTGAGAAGAGCGCAAGCAGTTGGGATTCTTTCCAGTTTTGCCCTCCACATAAAGCAGGTTACCTTCAGTGGAATTTCATGTATCCACTTTAATGTGGTCTCCAGCGTAGGCAGGTTCCACTGATCAATTTGTATTCTAAGTCTATCAACATGGAATAACCCATCACTAGCTAATGTACACACCCACTTATCATTGCCCTGCACAGTTTGGAAGTCTCTAATTCTGGAATCAAGCAGGTTAATCTCACTAACCAACTCCGGAGTTCTTGGTGCTGATTTCCATTCCCAGTTAATGATTCCATTTTGGAGACGATCACTGATTTTACAGTGTTTGTTGCGTTCCAATTTGTATGCTTCTGGGAAGGATGTCTTTAGGGTCGAGTCACCAATCCATCTATCAAGCCAAAACATGGTCTCTTCTCCAGATCCAATTTTTTCACCATTATTTCTTCCATGTCAATATCAAACAGTTTCAGTTCATCTTGTACTCCAGCTATCCGGTTCAAAATTCCAGGTAATGTCTTTTTGGAAATATATTGTGCGGGCTTATTCTAGAGATTATGGATACCCTTACTCCATAGTCCAGAGCTACCTACTTTCAGCTACCATATCCACTTTGTGATTAGTGAGAGGTTGATCCCCTTGAGAGAGCCCAACCTTTGGCCGCCAATCTCTTTAGGAGCAGTCACCGACTTCCATGCCACCCAGTTGATCTTCTTTTGTTCCTCCGCACCTCCCCACATGAATCTTCTTCTAATGCTTTCCAGTTTCTTGATAACACTTGTAGGAGCAACAAACAGTGAGAAATAAAAAGTAGGAAGGCTGCCAAGAACAACCTTCACAAGAGTTAGTCGACCCCTGAGAGATAGGGTCTTAGACTTCCAAAGGTTTAATCGGGATTGGAATCTTTCTATCACTGGCACCCAATGTCTTTTGTATTTCATATTCGCCCCTACAGGAACACCGAAATAGGTGAACGGTAATTTCGACGGCTTACACCCTAGCGGTTCCACTAAACTTGATACCTTCTGTTTATCCACCCCAATTCCAAATATCCTTGACTTATTGAAATTCACTTTTAGCCCCGACGATACATGAAAGCAACGAAGAATTCTAGCGAGGTTATTTTTGTTTTCCTCCCTCCACTCACCGACAAAGAGGGCATCATCTGCATAGAATAGGTGAGAGATGATAAGGTTACTATTGGGAATTCTCGTTCCAGTGAAAATACCTTTTGCGCAAGCCTCCTTCATTACAATATTCAACCCCTCCATCGCAATTAGAAAAAGGAAGAGGGACAACGGGTCTCCTTGCCTTATTCCACGCCCCATTTCAAATTCCTTAGTCGGCGATCCGTTAACTAAAACCGATAAGGTTGAAGATTTCAAACAACATTGTATCCATCCCCTCCATCTTTCGCCAAGCCCTAATTGCCTTTGAACATGGTCAAGATACTCCCAATTGACCGAATCGAATGCTTTATTAAAGTCTACCATAAAAAGTAGCATCTTTTCTTTTGATTTTTTTCCCATGAGTACATTTCATTGATTATTAAGGGCCCTTCAAGAATGTTTCGTCCCTCAATGAATGCCGATTGAACATTACCAATACACTCGCCAATGACCCTTTTCAACCTAATAGATAATATTTTTGAAATTATCTTATACATGCTACCAATGAGACTTATTGGCCTATAATCCCCAATTGTGAGCGGGTCCTTTTTCTTTAGGACAAAGGTGATAAATGAAGCATTGCAGCCCCTGTTAATGACTCCATAACTTTCAAAATATTTAACTTCATTCAATATGTCATGCTTCATTAGCTCCCAGTTTCTTTTGATGAACTTGAAAGAGAAGCCATCAGGTTCGAGATTTTTTTCACTTCCACATGCCCAAATTGCCTCTTTTATCTCCTCAACTGTGAATGGGGCTTCAAGACTTCAGTTTTCCAATGGATCCAAGACAGAAAACCTCGAACTAAGGAACTTTGGTCTGGTTGGCCACCTTTCTCGGAATTTTTTTTGATAGAAGCTAAAGATCTCAGATTTTATTATTTCGGGGTTTGTAATCCACTGATTGTCGATAAGCAGTCCAGCAATTCTATTCTTTCTTTTTTTATTATTGACAAAACCATGGAAGAAGGAAGAGTTCTCATCCCCGTCGATTACCCACTTAATTTTTGCTCATTGTTTGATGTCACAGGTCATGAACCTCTCCATTTCCGCTAATTTTTGGAATCCTGCCCTCCTTTCACTTATCTCTTCTTCTGAACGCAATCGATCTTCTGCTAGTAAGTCGATCTCATGTATTCTTCTTTTTAATTCCTGCATTTCTTTCACCTCTTTATGATGATCTGTGGCCCCCAATCCCTTATCCTATTTTTTAGAAATTTCAGTTTGGCCTTGATGTACATATCTGGAGCACTGTATCCCTTAAATTCCCTCCAAGAATTTTTAACAACCTCTTCAAATCCTTCTTGGTCGAGCCAGGAATTGAACAATCAAAACGGGGGTTTTCCAAAGTTCGTGAAGGATGTTTGAAGGGTTATCAGGCAATGGTCTGACAGCTCCTTAGGAAGGGCAGTGATTGAGGTAAATGGAAAAACACTTATAAAGTTATTGCATACCAGGAATCTATCGAGTTTGCTGAGTTCATTGTGTGTATTACAGTAGAAGGTGTATCTAATCCCCCCCCCCCCCCCAATTCTAATATCTTGAAGACATGCTTCTGAGATGAAGTTGTTGAAATAAACCGCAGAGGATGCACATAATTGGGAGTTAAATCGCTCCTCTCTTCTTCTAACTGTGTTGAAATCTCCAAACAAAATCCATGTTCCTTGTCTCTCCTTTATAATTTGTAGCAGCTCTTCCCATAATCTTCTCTTTTCGTCCAAGTCATGAGGGCCATATATATTTGCCAATATCGTGTTACCTGGAATCCCTTCCCAATCACCAATTGTTATCAAGAAGCGACTTGATTTTATAATTTTGCTTACCTAAAAAATGTTTACATCCCAAATGCTCAACAGTCCACCCGATCTTCGTGACGATTGGATTGCCGAAAAACCAAACTCCTCTGAGTCCCAGCACCCATGAACACCGATTGCTTCAGTGTTTGTTAGTTAAGTTTCTTGCAATCCCAAGAATGAAACCCTATTTTGGACCTTAAGTCTTTTAACCCATCTGACTTTGTGAGCCTCACCGATCCCCTTTACATTCAAACTTAGGCAATTCATTGCAAATCGCAATACTCACCTTCTTCTCCCATGGCTTCCTGGAGGATAGGGTCATCGGGATTGATGTCAAAACCCAATTCCTTTCCTATCTCGGCTGTTTTAATAAGTTCAAATCATTGGGGGGGGGGGGTTGGGGATATCTATCTATGTTCTCCGTCTGCTGTATAAGAGGGGTATTAAGGTCAATTTGATTTTCTTCGGGTGGAGTAGATGGGGACTCCGGCAACGGGACAGTGTGTGGCATCGGATCAGCACCTATCAATTCAATCACTGGGCTTATATTGGGGGTTATATTTATCACTCTTCTCCTTTTCCCGTTGGACCTGCCTACGTTGAATGTGTGGACTTCATTGCATGTAGTTGGAGATGGAAAGGGCCCAAAACAGTTGAGTGGCGGAAGTCCGTTACTAGGCCCATCATGTATTGACTTTGGGGTACTAGGGTCCGACTGGCATGCTTCATTCACGTGACTAGGTTGATTTGTCGTACCGTTAGGCAATAGTTTCTCCATATTCCGAGGTGCCGCTTCAGCTGCCTCCCTCGATGTTTTTCGTTACAATCGCCGCAGCACAATGAGTCTCTTCGTCTTCCATCTCCATCCTGTTAGGTTCACTCGCCGGAACCCTAGTTTTTCCCGGCTCTTGATCATCCAATTCATTGGTTTCCGGCCATATCTCCCCATCTTCCCTTTCATCATTTTTCGCTGACATCTGATCGTCTACAACCATCTTTTCGTTACCGTCTTCAGGTGGGTCGAATCTGAATGGGAACCAATCTTCGTCAAATTCAATGATGCCCAGTTTAAAGACTTTTCCTTCAAACGACGCGTGAATTTCATCGTTAATTCGAGCCCTCGTGGAGGTTAGTAGTCCAATCTTAGCATGAGACAGATCCACTCTGTAGGGAATGTCTTCAAATGGTGCGATCGTCTTCCCAAACATATCTATGATATTCCCAAAATTACACTGCCCCCACAGGTGTAGTGGGAGTCCCGTAATTCTAACCCATGCAACACATTCTTCATGAGAATCGACTTGGTCTCCCCATCTTACCCACTTTAGATAATCCTTCCATTTATGCTCGCCAATCATGAATTCCTTGGTAGCTACGGAGTGATCGAACAACATTAAAACCCTTAAACCTCCAATGTATTTCACCTCAACGCAAGTCTCTCCCTTTGCCAGGAGGAACTTAGGAAGATTGCCCAGGTGTTCTAGCGATACTGCTTCGCCAACTAGTGATATTTTTTGCAACCAACTACTTGTGGCTGGTTCGGGATGAAGGGTGACGGGTATCGGAAGCGGTGGACCAGGGGGGTGTTTGCGCTGTATTTACCGGTCTCAGCATGTCGGCGTACGATCGGTGATCCCGTAGGGTAGTCCCTATTCTCATTCCATTGTTTTTGGCCATGGCTGTCTGTTCAACATTCAACCTCCTATATTGCTCATTTTGGTTTTGGTCCCTCATTGGAACCTTTCTCTTGTGTAGGGCGATATTGACGACGAGTGTCTTCCCTCCAACTTTCACTCCGTCCAATCTTCTTTCCAACTCTTTGGCGTTGCCGACCCCTCTGTATCTAATGAACGCGTAGTACTGCTTATTCTTCCCTAGATTTTGCCCTATGTATACATCTGAAAGTTTTCCATATTTCTCGAATACTCTCCACAGCTCACCTTTCTTTTCTTCCTTTGGCATTTTTGTAACAAAGTACGTGGTTTCCTGGTTGTTTGCCAGCCTCTGTTTCCGGCGTACTACTTTCCAAGCGCTCTCCATCATTTTTTTAGAAGATGGATAAATGGTTAAGCCTGAGAATCACATCACAGAAAGAAAATATGTCAGTCTAGTTAGTAAAAAAGTGAGAGAATTAAGGTTTAACTTAAAATAGAGAAAGAAGTGATCCTCTCTTGGAGGAGAAGGGTTCTATTTATACATATCATCGTGGGGAAAGGGCCCGAAAATACATTTTTTCCCTTTTGAGCCAACAAACATGGGGACATCCTACTGGCGGATCGTGCTCTGCTAGTGGTTATCCGCTATTGATGCATAATCTTCAGAGGGTAGCGCCCTGAGCACTACACCTGTCACTCTGGGAGGTGACTTGTACTATTTTATCTTGCTGTTGACTGGGGTTTCTTGTCTTGGAGTCAACGTCGGCGCTAGGGTGCCAATGGATAAGTACTAGGCCGCGAAGTCAAGGGCCCAAATTCGGCACTAAACAAGCGACAATCATTGACCAGGTCGTCCTTAGGCGATGGTTCCATTATTTTTGGCATATTTCTAGCGGGATACGTTAATAGTGAGAAAGATCCCAAATGGATTAAAATGCCAACATCATCGGAGGTACAATCAAAGAGGTCGCGTAATTCAAGTTCATTTGACGTTTCCGACACACAAACTAACATTGACCTCAAAGCCGACACTGATGGCATCCCCGACGAAGTCTAAAAGATCTCCCTTCATGACAACCAATCGGACGCGACAAAGTGAAGCGCGTTCACCGACATGCTGATGAAGCTGAAAGAAGGGCACAAGAGTTAGCGGAAATAAAAGAAAAGTTCGACACATACAATTTAATAGCAAAAGAAAGAGTCGAAGTACATCGCTAACACTTGGAATTCCTTCGCCATCAAGTAGAGGAAGATCAAATGACTAAGAATTTAACAATTCTTCAGACGAGCGAGGAGATATGTCGCTACGAGATCTGGGAGTGCTTCATGCAATGAAGGAGAAGATGCGCAAGAGATATTTTGACTAAGACTATCTTTTTATGTTTTAAAATTAGGACTATAGTATTTTTTGCGTTCAATGTTATTATTATTTTTTTGTAGTGTTATTTTTGGTTTTTAAATGTTGTGTTTAATTTAGGATTTAATTAAATAACATGTTTAATTAATTTATATTTGTTTTTATAAATATTATAACATAAATAAAAAGACTGGAAAAAAAAATAATGTGAAAAAAATAACGACATGGAAATTAATAGGTGTTAGGCTTGAGGGAGTGGTCGCGGTTTTGCCACCTCAGCCGCACACACCGTCCCCTGACCGCGGTCTCCTGCGGTTTAGGCCGTGGTGCGACCCTTTATAGTCGTAGAATTTGATTGGTTGGGGAGGAATCTTTGAACGGTCAAAAATTCGACCGTTTAATATATTTTTTTCTTTCCTATAAAATACTACATACACTTCATTTTTTTTCAAACAAAAAACACCTTTCTCTCTAATTTATTAAAAAAATTCACCAATCTCTCTCAAAAATATCATCTTTTTCATTTTCTGAAGAATTTCAAATTATTTTTGATGCCGCTGTTGCGTGTGTTCAAATAGTGGAACAAACATATGTTGCTTTATTCAATAACGCACCTGAAAGTTCTCAATGGAGAACACAAATATATATTTTCAGAAATCGTGAAGAAGCCAACCAACGTTTGGTACAAAGACTATTTTCAAGAGAATGCAACTTATCAAGGGTACTATTTTCGTAGGTGCTTGAAAATGTTCAAACGTTCATACGAACTTATAGTTGAAGATGTAACGAGGGAGTGCAATTTTTTTCAACAACGCTACGATGCTAGAGGTACACCCGGTTTCACTCCCTTACAAAAATACATGGCCGCACTTTGTTAGTTAGCATATGGTATTCTGCCTGATGCGTTAGATGAGAGTTTTAGGATGCTTGCTAGGGCCGCACGAGACAGACTACACTATTTCTACAAAACCGTGATTCAGTTTTATGGTCCAAAATATTTACGTAAGCGTATATGTAATGACATCTTACAATTGCAAGCTCATCATGCTAGTGTGCATGGGTTTCCTGGAATGCTAGGAAGTTTTAGATTGTCTCTATTGGGTATGAGAAAATTGCCCTATGTCATATCATGGGCAATTTACCCGAGGTGATCATGGTCATCTAACGGTCATACTTGAAGCAGTTGCATCACAAGATCTGTGGATTTGACATACTTTTTTTGGTTTTCTTGGTTTGATTAACGACATCAACGTTCTTAATCGTTCACCTATATTTAACAACATATATGATGGATCTGCACAAGATTCTTTATGAAGTGCATGAAACGCCATATAAGTATAATTATTATTTGGTCGATGGAATCTATCCTCAGTATGCTGTGTTTCTTAAATCGTTTACGTGTCCACATAATTCTAGACGAAAAAAATTCAAGAGAGCTCAAGAAAGAGCTAGGAAGGATGTTGAGCGTGCTTTTGGAGCTCTGAAGAAACGATGGTTCATATTGAAAAAACCACTAATTAATTTAGCCGAGGAAAAGCTTCAAGAAATCATGTATACATGTCTCATATTGCATAACATGATTATTGAATACGAAGGTAGAGCGATATGTGCGTTTGATAAGGAATAAACCATACCAGAGATACAACCAATAGAAATTGGTGGCAAAAAGTATATGAATAGTAGAGTAGAGATACGTTGCACTGAAACATTTCACAATCTTCGCAATAACTTGATGGAACACATTTATGAGATTCAAAACATTAATCTTAATTTGGATCCACCGAATGACTCGAAAGACGAGTTCTCAGAGAACGATTTTATGTACTATGTTTTAGTTATTTTATTTGTGTTTTTTTAGGTTTCTAGGATTATTTTAATGTCGTGTGTGTTTTTTTTAAGTTTCTAGGATTATTTTAATATCATGTTTTTTTTGGGTAATGCAATGCAATGTTTTTTTAATTTTCAATGTAATGTTTTTTTTTTTTTTTTTTTTAAATTTTCAAGTAATGAAAAATTATGTTTTTTTTATTAAAAAAGAAGTTTTATCAAATTAAAATAGTTAAAAAACACAAAAAAAGTAAATAAATAAATAAATAAAAGTGTGGCATCACTCCTTTGATGTGACAATAAACCACACTTATATGGTAAAAAGTGACATGACGTTTATGTGACGGTGAAATGAGTGCGGTTTGAGTGACATCACTCCCCCCAATCTTATAATATGTTGCCTGTTCTCTAAATTAATATTATAACACCATAATTAACATTACATATGAGATCCTAATGTTATAACATAGTTTAACATCTTGTACACGTTTAATAGTTTTACTCTAGATTTGGTTTGGGTTGCCAAAAAAAAAAAAAAAAAAAAAAAAAAAATGCCGAGAAGGGAATGTGAAGCGAATAAGGATAAAGAGGTGAGAGTAGTATCAATATCACAGCTGATGGTGGGTTAAGTATATTGTCAACAGCGGTCCAGTGGTATCACTGATAATGGGTATACTGATCACGTTTCATAAGTGAGGCCCATTTCAATTTTAAAATTTATAAATTATTGATAATAAATAAACTAAAAGATAGATATATAAAAGTGATATTGTGATTTAATGTTTGACATGAACGAAAACTATAATAAAAATATACTATAGAAATGAACCGAATAAAGAAAAAATAGCGACGAAAGATGTAATTTACCCCAAATCACGAACCATTTATTTGATTTACTCAAATTGTTTTATATTATGTTTTCTTTTTTCTTATTCTGTGATATTAAAGAATACACGCAAATAATATGTATATGTTACTTTCTTAGATCACATAAATGTTTGCACAGGCTGTTTGACTACAAGTCAACAATATTGAATGTATGCCATTGACATTGGGTTTGGTGCAGATGGATAATAATAACTTTCTACGGAGTATTAAAGTTTGTTGGTTTGAAAACCACATTTATTTTATTTTAGATTATTAGAATATAAAAACATAATTATTTTTTTGTGGTATTCTTATCTAGAATGTTTACATGTGTGTGCAAAATTTACAAATTCTTAACGTTTATTTTAGATTATTAGAATATAAAAACATATTTTTTTTGGTATTCTTATCTAGAATGTTTACATGTGTATGCAAAATTTACAAATTCTTAACGTTTATTTTAGAGTATTAGAATATAAAAACATATTTTTTTTGGTATTCTTATCTAGAATGTTTACATGTGTGTGCAAAATTTACAAAATTTTAACGACTTCGTTAGTTGCTTGTTCCAATGTTTGTTGCATACTATTAGACGTGCCCAAAAAAACCGGTTCACAAACCGAACCGGCTAGTGAACCGGAAACCGGTTTACCACCAAATCGGTTCAGCCTTGAACCGAACCCCCCATGAACCGAACCGCCGGACCGGACCAATTCGCTATTTTGATCGTTAGGACCGGTTTCGAACCGGTTTAATAAGAACCGGTTTTTTGATCCGGTGTTGAACCGATTTTTTTATCCGGTTTTGAACTTATTAGCCCAAAAACAAAAAAATAGCCCAAAAAAAATAGAAAAGCTTATTTGCGTCGAACCGTTTTTGAGCCGGTTTTTGAACCGGTTATTGCTGAACCGGTTTCTATTAAACCGAACCGGTTTACATATGTTCGGATATTTTTGGGGCTGAACTGGTTTGGGTGTAAACCGGTTTTGACTACTTTGACCGGAACCGAACCGGTTTTCTGAACCAGTCCGGTTCAGAAAAAAAACCGATTTTTACATGCCTACATACTATTAGGCCTTTATTCATGAAAAGTAAAATGGGCCTTCTAAGTATAAATAATTTATATATAAACAAAGTTCATTAACACTAAAATAAGATTCCACATCCATAATTATACGAATAAGAGAAAAAAAATGTTATTTATAGAAAAGTTTTAAACTTTTTTCAAAAGTTTCAATAAAGTTCTAAATGTTTTTTTTTAACAGAAAAGTCCTAATATTTTTAAAAAAATCATATAATCTATCATTTGTTGTTCAAATATAAAAAAATGGATTTCT